TTTTAGAATTTTTGTTTAGAGTTTTAGCATTTTTGTGAGTGACTGGGAATGGCAGGAATGAAAATGGAGGAAGTAGAGAATTTATTTTAAAGAAAAGATAATTGTTATTACAGACTAATTTAATTAAATATCGATATTATTATAAACATACAAATTTCATATATTTATTTATAATATACTCAACACCACTGCGATAATACGTCACATACATAGTATAACGATTATCGTGATATATCAAACAATTGTAAATAATTAGGAAATAACTGAAAAATAAAAAATTGGTAGAATAATTATTTAAAAAATCGAAAGTAAACGATGTATTTATTTATCTATTATTTAACACACTATTGCACTCCAATATTAATTTATTACCCAATCTAACTAATAATAAATATATCAACTAAATAAATAAAAGATTTCCACGAATTATTATAGGCTTAAGAAAAACGAGAATCGAACGAGTAATTTGAGCTTGCAATTTTGATAAATAACCCTTTCAGTTAAAATAAAAAGTAAAATAGGTCTCCGGATCGAATTCTGAAATTGTTCCGTAGGGAATAATTTATCATTTTAAGTATAGCGTTGCGGAGAGGTTGAAACTGCAGGTAAACATATAGGTATAATAATAGTGGTGTAATAAAAAAAATAAAAACAACGTGCACTAGTTATGTCGAAAGGTTAATCCATTTCCCCTTCGGCATTAAAATACGAGTTCGTGTTACTCGGTTGCAGAAAAGCAGGTCATTTAAATTGCTGAAACTGCGTCCAGCTAAAATAATTATACGTTTTACGAACACGCGAGTGGCTGCTTTTCACCGATCGGAATGTCAGGACCTCTTTCGCAACGTACAAGGAAGTTTTGCTAAGTCACGCCGGCTAGACGCATTATTCTGCCAACGTGTTCGTATTACAAATGAAGAAATTGTTCGTTAAACACCTTGCGCGATGTACAAATATTTTTCGACTTGGTAATTAACAATTTCGAAACCAATCTTGCCTTATCCTACTACCATGTACATAACACTGTACAATTTCGTAAAGTATACAATGCAAAAATTTAATTGCAGAGTTTAATAGAATTCGAAATAAAAATTTAATAAGTAAGAAAATAGTATACTTCAATAGCAAAAGTTTAATAACAAGAATTAAAGATTTAATTATAAAATAATAAAAATAGGAAGTTTAATGATACAATAATATTTAATACTATGAAGATTTAATAATTTAATAATAAAGAAACATAACAATGGAATCTTGAAGATCTAATAATAGAATAATAATAATTTAATAAAACAGAATGTTATACTTCAATAGCAAAAATTTAATAATAAAAGTTAAAGATTGAATTTTATAATAATAAAAGTAGGAAATTTATAGTACAATAATGATATTTAATACTACGAAGATTTAATAATTTAATAATAAAGAAACATA